ATTCTGATGATTGATGATGGACTGCATTCTGATTCAGATTATAGATATTATTCAGTTTGAATTTGAATTAGATATTCAGCAGACAGTTGAAAATCCTCTTTATTCTAATTAATACAACTTTCAGAAAATCAACTGAAATGAAGTGAATAAAGCTTTATAAAAAAATCTGCTTAAAGCTGAATTTCAATGATCTTTAATTAAGAACTCTTCTGCTGAACTTGAATTGAAAGCTGAGAAAATAAGAGATCTAATTCTTTTCTTAATTAAAGAACATATTCTCAAAACAAGAATTACTGAAAGATTCAAGTCTTGATAAAACTCTGAGCTTAAAGATAAAAGAAAGAAAATGTCTAAAGCTTTCAGAAATCTCAAGAGTAATCAATTTAGCTATGAGAAATATAAAATAAAAAGAACTGAATATTTTAACTCTATCAAAAAAGTAAAATTCTCATGCTGGAATGAATTTCTTGAGAATGCACAGGGAAAAGAAGTCTTTAAAGCATATAAATATATAAAGCAAAATAGAGTGGAAAAAACATTTATTCTAGAATATACAGATTTGAAAACTGGACAAGTTTCTAAAGCTGTATTCTTTCAGAAAAAATACAATACTTTTACAAAAACTCTATTTAGAAAATCTTCTGTGTATTCATCAATAAACTGGAATGAATATCAAGAAGATATGAATTGAGAATGGTCTGAAATAGCAGAATTTGAGATTAGAAACTTCATCTTCTCAGATTTAAAAACTAGTGCATCAGACTCAGATGGTATCTCTTTTTGTATTTTATAAAAGATTTTTTCAATTATATAGTACTCTCTTTAGATGTGGATCTCATTCACAAATCTAAAAATAAGTCATTGAAGTTATTCTGAAGAAATCAAACAGAAAAGCTTCAATTTCTAAATTATATAGAATTATTTCTCTTCTTAACTGCATGAGAAAAGTTATAGAAAGAGTTATTGCAACAAGACTTTTCTTTCTTGTCTTTATAACTGATTTACTCTGTAATGATCAGTTTGGAGGTAAGAAGCAATACTCTGTTATTAATACAGCTATAAATTTAAC